ACCAGCTGAGGGGAGTGCTGGGGGAGTTGCTGGGGGTGGGGGGAGGAGAGAGGCTTTTGCTCATACCTGAACATATCTGTATATAATTATATATATTTTTCTTATATCATTTATTAGTGTTTAATTAAAGCTGTGTAGTTGAGTTTTCAATCCAGCCAAGTCTCTCTCTTTTTCTCTCTCTCCTTCCCTACCTGGGTGGGAGGGGATCGAGAGTGTTGTTGTTGGACCTGAGTCAAACGGTGACAGGTCTCCACAACAGTCAGTTGTTGAGATCCTCCCATCACTCCAGAAATAGTGATGGATTCTGTCCCTTTGTGATTCAATGGCATTAGGGTGCACTGTGCTCCAGTGTCCACCAAGGTTTTATACTTTTGTGGTTCTAATGTGCCAGGCCACTGAATCCACACAGTCCAGTAAACTCAGTTCTGCCTCTCCTCCTCCTGGCCAGAGGTGGGGCACCTCTAATGTTGAGCATTAGAGGTCGATACGCAATCCTGGGTGGTGACTGGTGCAGCCTTCTTCTTGGAAGAACCATCTCCTGCCTTTGTTCTGCTTAGTAGCTCTTGCACACGTATCTGGAGAATATCAGTGGGTTTCTTGTCCCAGATTCTTATGTCCTCTTTAAAATAATGCGTTGGAGACCACAGGTGCTGTCGCAGTGGGTCCTGTCTCTCTCACTGCTGTCTTGTAGCAGGACGTCTCTTCTTAATGGCTGCAACACGTGACCAATTGTCTCTAGGGAGATTCTGGGGTTTACCTCCCCATCTGTTTGGCATCTTATTCTTTCTGTCAGTCATTTGTTCAGTGGCTGAGGTGTGGAACTGATTGGAATCAGAGATTATGTCTCCATACTGTCGTGTTTTGAAAGCCACCTCACGCACAGTTTGTCTTGCATAGTCTTCAGTGCATCCCATGAAGGAGAAGTTATGGGTAAGTGCTGCTGGTACAGCCTGTGCAAAACTCCAGAACATCTGTGTGTCACACAGAACGTCATCAGGGTTTGTAAGTCCCTCTTTATCATAGATCACCTCTCGCACAGCTATTTCTCTCAAGTATGCGATGACTTTCTCAAGAGTGGGTGTTCTGCTTTGGCGCCATTCGATGCCACCCTTGTGGGGGTATCTCTCTCTCACAGTTGAAAGAAGTTGGTCCCACAGGGTGGTGGTTCCCATCTTACTACTAAGTGCTCTGTCAATGCCAGCATCTCTGGCCAGGGATCCCAACTGCTTGGCTTCTCTCTCATCCACGTTGTAGGTTTCAGCCCCACTATCAAAGCATTGGAGCAACCAAGGAAGGATTCCCTCACCATCAGTGCGGGTGAAGTCCTTTCTCATGAGGTGCAGTTCTTTCATAAAGAAAGGCTGGACAAGGTCATTGTCGTCATCTGATGGAGGAGGGCCTGCTGTTCTATCTGCCTGAGAGTGGCCTGATTTTTTTATCTGTTTGTGAGGTACCTGTTCCATCAACTGATTTAGAATCCTCTGCCTCCTCAATTTCAGTCTCTATCGTTGCCTGAAGAAACTGTGGATGTGTCAGACAGGAGCGGGTAAAAAGGGAGGAGCCTTTTTGCGTTTTCCTTGCTCCTGGTCACAGGATTAACTAGTTTGATTTGAAAGGGAGTGGACTTTATCTTTGTAGAAGCAGTTGGTTTTGTAGCAGCACTTGTAAAAGCAGCTGTTTTTGTAGCAGGACGAGTGGTGGTAGCAGCTGCAACAGTGGCAGCAGCGTTGCCTGTGGGGGATTGCAAGTGAGTGGAACAACGCCTCACCCTACGTATCCACAATACATTATAAACATTCAGCAGAAGCATCCCTACTGCAACGGTGCTATTCACATCAAGAGGTGGGAGGTTCAGCTTGAAAGAAAATGGAGAGGTAAAATTGAACCTGCTACTGCCATTACCAACGTGGACCGTTCCGTTCACTTGAGGATCTGTACCATAACAGTATGCATACAGTGCCCCCATAATTATACAGTTGGTTATGGCTACAGTTCTGTCGATAAACCATAAAACAATCACAAGAGCAGCTACACAGAGCAGAATGCGCTCGGCTGCACACCACATGTACAGTTGCATGTTGGGAAAAAGATCCGGTAGATTCATTGCAGAAAGTGTTCAGTTTTCAGTCTGTCATGAAATTCAGCAGAATTATTGCCCATTGCTATCTGAGGGATTCCTCCCATCAGAGATGGAATTTTGAAAACTCACAATTAATGAAAGTGTGTAAGCTGGGCTTAAAATCAAGCCCCACGTTTGGCGCTAATAAATTGTTGTCGCCATTTGACTCAGATCGACAACAATGCTCTCAATCCCCTCTCACCCAGGTAGGGAAGAAGAGAGAGAAACAGAGAGAGACTTGGCTGGATTGAAAACTAAATTACACAGCTTTAATTAAACACCAATGATAAAAGAAAATATATACAATTATATACAAATATGTTCAGATATGTACAAAGCCCCTATTGCCTCCCCCCACCCCCAGCAACTCCCACAGCACTCTCCTTAGCTGCAAACAGTCCTGAAAAGTCTCAGAGCGCTGCTGGAGAGAGCAGCAGAGCAGACAGGAACTAAGGGGAGAGTTATCAGGGTCAGGAGAGCTCGAGCCTGGGAGTCAACAGTGATGGATGGACGGAGTCCTCCCCGGACGCCGGCCATGGATGGAAGAGAAGGGAAGGAGAAGCAGGAAGGAAGTTGTCTTCTGTGATCTCAGACCTTCCTCTGGGCTTACGTAGATATATAGAATGGAATACCTCTGGCCAATTTTGCTGTCTGCCTAGTCCAGCCTCCTATAGGGGAGTCATAGATACGACTCTCCTCCCGGTAGCATCTGAGCCAGCAGGGCAAAGACGTGACCTTGGAATCTCGGCAGTAACATAAACATTCCAGTGTTATCAGTCCACTAGCTGGAACACTTGCTGCTAGTTAAAAGAGAGCTCACTGAAGGAAAAAAAAAATCTTTAAGAGGAAAATCGGCTTCATTCTGGCTCAAACCAGGACACTGGAGAATGCACATTCCCGGTTACAGTCACATTGTGAGATCTCTCTCTGAGGTGACCTGAAAGAAGAGCAACTTTAAATGGGGTCCTGAACAACAGAAAGCTTTTGAGCACATTAAAAAGGAGATTGCGCATGGAATGGGCCTTGGACCAGTTTGAACAGGTCCAGACATCAGAAATGTGCTTCTTCTCTACTCTTCAGCTGGATACAATGGTCCTACCTGGAGCCTCTGGCAGAAAGCACCAGAGGAGACTAGAGGTCAACCCCTATGTGATCTGTCTTAGGTGTTCCTGCTGCAGCAAGGAGGTTGGACTCAATTATATTCAGAGGTCCCTTCCAAACCCTATGATTCTAGAGCCAGAGCTACAGAAGTTCTGAGGCTAACTATACTTTAACTGAAAAGGATATACTAGCAGGATATGAAGGAGTTAGAGTGATCGGCACTGAAGCGCAGCTCCTCCTGGCGCCCAGATTGCCAGTACTGAGTTTCATGTTCCAGAGTAATGTTTCTCCTATCCATCATGCCACTGATGTGACTTGGAGTAAATGGACTGCTTTAATTACCCAGCAAGCTCATATATGAATACCTAACCGTCCAGGTATCATAGAAGCAATTACAAACTTGCCAGAAGGCACCCACTTTGGAATGCCACCACAAGAAGCGGTGAGATGGGCTCAAGAAGCTCCACCATACGATTACCTACCAGAGACTGAGAAACAATTTGCTCTTTTCACCGATGGCTCCTGTCGTCTTGTAGGGAACCGCCGGAAGTGGAAAGCTGCCGTGTGGAGTCCTACACGATTGGTTGCTCAAGTAGCTGAAGGAGAAGGTGAATCAAGTCAGTTTGCAGAGGTAAAAGCCATCCAGCTGGCTTTGGACATTGCTGAGCGAGAGGGGTGGCCGAGACTCTATCTCTACACTGACTCGTGGATGGCAGCAAATGCCTTGTGGGGTTGGCTAAAGCAGTGGCAGCAGAACAACTGGCAGCGAAAGGGTAAACCTATTTGGGTTGCTGACCTGTGGAAAGACATTGCAGCTCGGATAGAGAAACTGGAGGTAAAAGTGCGTCATGTGGATGCACACGTGCCTCTGAGTCGAGCCACTGAGGAACATCGACACAACCAACGAGCAGATGAGGCTGCTCAAGTGTTCCAAGTAGACTTAGACTGGGAACACAAGGGTGAGCTCTTTCTAGCTCGGTGGGCCCATGATGCTTCAGGTCATCAGGGCAGAGATGCAACATACAAATGGGCTCGTGACCGAGGGGTGGACTTAACCATGGACACTATTGCACAGGTGATCCACGACTGTGAGACGTGCGCTGCAATTAAGCAGGCAAAACGGTTGAAACCTTTGTGGTATGAGGGGAGGTGGTCAAAGTACAGGTTTGGAGAGGCCTGGCAAATTGACTACATCACACTGCCTCAGAGCCGCCAGGGTAAGCGCTACGTGCTTACAATGGTGGAAACAAGTACAGGATGGTTGGAGACATATCCTGTGCCTCATGCCACAGCCGGGAATACTATCCTGGGCCTTGAGAAGCAAATTTTGTGGAGACATGGTACTCCAGAGAGAATTGAGTCAGACAATGGGACTCATTTCCAAAACAGTCTTGTGACTGACCAGAGAACATGGTATTGAGTGGATCTACCATATCTCGTACCATGCACCAGCCTCAGCGTAGATTGAATGGTACAATGGTCTATTTAAAAGCTACCCTGAAGGCAATGGGTGGTGGAACTTTTAAAAACTGGGGCAAAAATTTGGCAAAGGTCACCTGGTTGGTTAACACCAGGGGATCCATCAATTGAGCTGGTCCTGCTCAGTCAAACCTTCTACATACAGTAGATGGGGATGAAGTCCCTGTGTTGAGTGAAAGGAATCTGTTGGGGAAAGTGTTTGGGCTTATCCTGCTTCAGGCAAAGGTAAACCTGTCAGGGGTATTGCTTTTGCTCAGGGACCTGGACATACCTGGTGTGTGATGATGGAGGATGGTGAAGTACAATAGGTACCTCAAGGTAATCTGACTCTGGGGGAGAATCCCTAATTTGACAGTGTGTAAAACATAGAGGCTATATGTAATATATGTGGTCAGGAATAAGGGGTGGAATGTCCTGGTTTGAGCCAGGATGAGGCCAGTTTTATTTTTTACTGTGTTGTTTTGTGGGGTTTTTTTAGTGAATTCTCTTTTAAGCAACACACTTAGTGAAACTAGCAGCAAGTTTTCCAGCTAGTGGTCTGATAATCTCCAAATGGTGTCTCTGCTGAGAGACCAAGGACTCTTCGCTCTGCTTGTTGAATCTGCTGCTTTGGACACTAAAGGAGCAGAAGAGTCGTATCTACAACCCTCCTGTAGGGAGGAACGGACTGGACAGATGGCAAAATCGCTGAACCAAATATTCCATCAGTATTTTTATGTAGGACTTGGTATGAAGTCAGGGATCATGGAAGTCAAGCTTCTTCTTCTCTTCCATCCATGGCCAGCATCCAGGGAGGACTCTGACTGTCCATCATTGTTGATCCCCAGGCTCGTGCATTCCTGACCCTCATAACTCTCCCCTGAGCTCCTGTCTGCTCTGCCACTCTCTCCAGCAGCTCTGGGACATTTTGGAGCTGCTCACGGCTCCGGAGATGCTGTGGGAGTTGCTGGAGGTGGGGTGAGGCAATAGGGGTTTGCACATTCCTGCACATTCTTGTATATAATTGTACATGTTTTCTTTTATCATTAGTATTTAATTAAAGCTGTCTAGTGTAGTTTTCAATCTGGGAAGCCTCTCTCCTTATTCTCTCTCTCCTTTCCCTACCTAGGTGGGAGGGAGAGGGGATCGAGAGCATTGTTGTCATTGGTTTAATTGCTGATCCTGAGTCAAACCGTGACGTATGCCAAGTGTAGCATGTTAATATTGCTGTTGTATTGTCACTGTTATTATACAACTTGAAAGCTTTTAACTCCAATTTCTGAAAATTATATAAGTGTGGTTTGTGTGACCACAAAAACAGTTCCACTTGATTTCAAAGCTGTTCCCTGTTCGTAAGTGGTAACTGGTTTTATCTGGAATGTTTTCATTTTGCTACCAAACTGGAGGATACTTCTATGAGTTGGCCAGTGATTTCTGCATTACACTAAAGTGGAGAGAAATATTACTCTTGTAGTAGATCCTTGGGCTAGGAATATAATTTAGTACATGGTGTTAGAGATCAGAGTGATAGATACAGTTTTGCCAGGGCTATTCTCAGAACCTCCTTAATATGCTTTTAACTGGTTAAAAGGCTGAGGTGGCTGAAAGCCATATTAAATAACAAAAAAAAACCCTTTAATTGTTTTCTTTGAACATGTGACTATTGAAACAGTGGCTTGTGTAATGCTTCCTATGCATAGGTTTTGCTTATTGCTTTAGAATTTGTCTTTTAAAGCAATTTGCACCCTTACCCCATCAGTGTGTTCGGGCAGAAGTCTCATCTGTTTACATAAAGTAAAGGACTCTTGCCTTTCTGGATCCGATTTTAACATCACTAGACTAGTACTTTTCCGATTCAGCTGGAACAAAGTGAATACTATGTGCATCAATATTTTCCTTTAGAAAGACTTTTTACCATCAAATGTCCTAAAACACTTAGTGTGTTTCTTAACACGTGCTTGCAGATTTTGTAGCAGAGTCGTATTCAAGATGAGGTTATAGCAGTGGTCATTATTAAAAACAGTATACTGGGAAGAATCCAGAAGGGATTTATTCCTTTGTCTAGCAGCTGAGGTTAAACTGGCAGCTGTCAGTGCAGTCCATCTAGTCTAGGTGTGTTTAGTTTTTTTTACTGTAACAAATTCGTTTTGCTATGTAAATACCACAATGTGTGCTTGTACCTTCTGTAGCTAGTATCTGTTTCAGGCAAACAAGAAGGCTGTGCAAGAGGAGGTGTCTACCATTTACTGTGTCAGTAGGTCTAATAAGACAAGTATTTGCACACTGAACAATTTTGGCTGTGAGATTGGTGCAGAGAGAGGCTTTGTTTAGATTGTCCTGCTTAGAGCAGGACTTATGCCAGTGGGACTAAGCAGGACATAGTAGCAGCAGTCACGCCAGCCTCTGAGCAGTCAGGAGATGTGGTTGTCTTTGACCTGGTGTGCTGTTTTGGTTCTGGCATGGTTTCAGTAGCAGGGGAGGGGCCTCAGGGGTGGCTCCCGTAAGAAGCTACTAAATAGCTCCCCCGGCTCAGGTAGCAAGGCCAGAACCATTAGAGTTGCGCCAATAGATGTGTCTCTGCGATTAATATATGAACAAACTGCTACAAGACCTGGGCAACGAGCAAGCAGAAGAGCTAAGCTGGAGTGGTGAGAGTAGTGCCAGGTTGAAGATCCCACGGTTGATGAGGAAGAAGGCGAAGGAGGTGCCCAAGCAGAAGTTTCCCTGCAACCCATGGCAAGATGGCAGATGCCCCCTGCACTCATGGAGGAATGTGGTGGAACATTCTCTGAAACCGCCAGGAGGGTTGAATGTGGATTTGTAGCCCGTGGACTTGGATCTGCAGCCATGGAAGACCCCAGTGCCAGGGGAGGTGTCTGTTCCTGGAGCAGCCCGTGACTCTTTGGGAAGCCTGCACTGGAGCAGCTTACTCCTGACCTCGTGGGAAGGACTCATGAAGGAGATGTTCGTGGAGGACTCAATGGGGAAGCAGGGGAGGGCTGTAAGGAATCCTTCTTCCTGAAGAGGAAGGAATGGCAAGAACCACCAGCCTGTGAACTGACTAAATTCCATCCCCTGTCCCCCTGTGCCGCTTGGGGGAAGGAGGGAGAGAAACCAGGAACAAAGTAATTTGGATCCGGGAAGAAGGGAGGGGTGGAGTAATGTATGTAAGCTCTGCTCCTTTTGTTGTCTGTGTCCTGTGTTTGATTAGTATTAAATTATTATTTTTCCCCAAGTTGAGTCTGTTTTGCCCATGACCGTAAATGGTGAGTGAACCCTCCCTGCCCTTAGTCTTGACCCATGAGCTTCTAGTTGGCCTTTGTCCTCCCCATCCCAGTACATGGGTATATGTGTGGGGGGAGTTGAGTGAGTAGCCACGGGGCTGGTTCTTTGTTGTCATGTTAAGCCCAAGCCATAACACCTGGCCATGATTTACCACTCTCAGTGCAAAGGCTGCTGCAGTTGCTATTTCTGTATAAGCAAACACTGGCATATCTGGGTTCTCAAATTGTCAGACCAAATATTATTTGGATGTCATGTTGGAAATGGTGGTGTTGGTGGCCAGTGAGTTGCCATTTGGATGCTGTGCTGTGTAATGCTTGAATGTGTGCTTCTCAGTAAAGATCAGTGAAAATGCTATTATATTCTGCCTGGAGCACTTTTTCATCCGGGTGATGCAAGTGGGATGTAAGTTATTCAGCCTGATAGTTTCAAAGCTGGAGTTTCGCGATCTGCGACCTATTATATCTCCTTTTTGGAGTGAATTTAGCTTATCGGGATCTGCCGAGAGGTCTGCACGTGGCGCTCGCCTTTCACAGAGGAGCAGTGAACTCCAGCACTGACTTTTTGGGTGAGACACTTGTTCAGTGCTCACTAGTGTTTCCAATAACAGCAGCCAATCCCCAATTAGAATTTACGAACACACGGTTTATTGAGGGGAAAAATAAAACAATTTGGGGCAGGAGGTTCAAAGAGGGTAATTAAAACACATAGGAGCTGTGAAATATCTTTTAAACACCACTGCTCCTCTCTAGCAGCAGGACCCCCTCAGGGCATCCAAGTTGTTTTCTGGCAGAGGACGCAGGCAGGAGAGGGTTTAGAGTGAAACGCAGAGCAGCCATCTTTAAGCCAATTATGACTGCTGACCTAAAGGGCATGTTATGTTCGTGTGAGGAAATATCTGGTCCTTCACACTGGAGGAAGTACCACCTGTGTCCTAACAGGACTCTAGGACTAGCCAGTGTGGTACATAGTATGAGAGCTCAAGTGATGACAGCACATAAACATTTAACTCCAAATTAACAGGATGTTCCTGTTTTCAAAAGCTGCTCATCCTTTTGGAGCCTGTGACTGCCTTATGTAGATGAGACAATAGTGAAGGAACTGTTGTCCAAGTATGAAAATGGTTCAGATAAAAATGGCAAAGCTACAGCTCACTGAGTAAGAGGTTAGTCGCTGAACACTGTATCTGGAGCCCCCAACATAAGAAGGACATGGAGCTTCTGGAGAAGGTTCAGAGGAGGGCCACAAAGATGATCTGAGGGCTGGAGCACCTCTCCTATGAAAACAGGCTGAGAGAGTTGGGGTTGTCCAGCCTAGATAAGAGAAGACTTCGTGGAGACTTCATAGTGGTCTTCCAGTGCCTGAAAGTGCTACAGAAAAGCTGGGGAGGGACTTTTTACCTGGGTGTGTAGTGAGAGGACAAGGGCTAATGGATCTAAACTGGAAGAGGGGAGATTTAGATTAGACATTAGGAGGAAATTCTTTAGTGTGAGGGTGGTGAGACCCTGGCCCAGGTTGCCCAGGGAAGCTGTGGCTGCCCCATCCCTGGCAGTGTTGAAGGCCAGGTTGGATGGGGCCCTGAGCAACCTGGTCTAGTGGGAGGTGTCCCTGCCCATGCAGGTGGTTGGATCTAGATGATCTTTAAGGTCCTTTCCAACCCAAACCAGTCTGGGATTCTATAATTAATGTTGCCACTAATGACTTTTTGGATCTGCAACACTCAAAGCAAAGTCACAAATGAGCACTAAATGAATGTTTTAGATTGTTATACACAGTCAGAACCCTTGCCTGTAATTGCAAAAGCTTAGACCAGTGATCCAAGAAACCCCTTTTAGTTAATTGAGAAAACAGTGCAATATACATTGTGGGTTTTCTAATACTTATTCACAGCAACTCAAGGAAAACAAACCTGTGGTCTGGCTTCTTGGAGGTGGTTGAGCTCAAAGTGTTTCTGCCTCATGAGTTTGCAGTATGCCTGAAGAAGGAGTTTTGTTCTAAAACACTTTTTAAGTACCACATGTAAGTGATAGATATAAAGGACAGATGGAAGACCATGAAGTAAGTATGAGGCCTCTCATTGAAATGATCAGAAATCAGACAGCTGATTAAGTTAGACTACCTTGTTTCAAAAATCAGAATGTATATGCTAAATAGTCTTGAGCTATTTCACTGTGTTTTGGTTTAAGTGGAGCTTCTAGACTTTGGGTCACTTTGCCCTTCTGACCACTTTTGTCCAAATGTTACTTCCTACATGTATGCCAAAACTTGGATTTTAATTTGTTTTAGCTGCTCTAAAGCTGGGTTATTTTAAAGCCTGCTTTGAATATGACAAAAAATAATGAGTTTTTTTATAGGCACATAACAGAATACAGTGTTCAGAAGAGCTTCAGTTTTCAGTTGTGTAGGCATAGTCTTGTCACAAGGCAAGCTGAAATGTTTGGTATACTGACTTCAAAATCTGTTCCATTGTTGTGCTGTGCATTTGTTCTGTTTGTTTTGTGGTTTTGTTTTTTTCTTTTGAAATAGTTATGAACTAGAACATTTAAAAAAAAACAACAAAACCAACTGTCACATCCCACAAGGTGGGCATCATTACAGTTCCCCAGAGGTGGGGTCAACCCAGGGAGATTCGGATTGGACCCTCTTGCTATCTAAACTCATTCCCAGAGAGGAGCCTAGGTGCGGCTGGATCCAATCCTTCTCTCTTAATTAATTTATTTTAACAACCCATTGGGCGAGATTGGAATATCTGGAATTTTCTGTGCAGTATTCTAAGAGTAAGACCATTACCCAGGAGGCTTGTACAAAACATAACTTGAGTAAGATTATAAAGCTTGTCAAAAACCACACCATACTATACTCTCAAAACCAACGGATTACAACTAGCAGAACTTAGCAAAATGGTACTTTCAAAGCAATGGATTACAACTAGCAAAACTTAACAAAATTGTCAAAGTGGCAGGTTACAAAAACTTAGCAATGTTAGAAAGTATATTATCCTTACATGCCACAATAAGGTTAGAAACAGAGAGGGAGAGAGAGAGAGAATGAAAAAGGGGATAGAAAAGACACCCTTGGATCCAGCGATGATCTTGGTAGGAAGTTGTGGTCCTTGGATGGCTGATGTGCACCAAACATCTCGAGTCTGCACCTTTTATGCTATCTGGCCCCACCTTTTTTTTTTGGGGGGGGG